AAGAGGAGTCCTAGGAAGGTGGAAGTCAATCAAGTAGAATGATGACTGAGAAGCAATTCCATCCTGGTGTCCTTTAAGGCCTCACTGTCAGAAGCACAGCAGAGGGAGAAGGTACATTACAATGGCCAACGAGTAAGTGGGAAGTTCAGGAGGCAAGGGCACAGAGAAGGAAGAGTATGGAGTACTACTGTGAGAGTAAGAAAACACAAAAGGACTTGTCAGTACAGAGGATATCTGCTCATGTTTTCAAACTGAAGGGCAGAATGGGAAAGGAGATACTGAAGTCAAAAAAAGAAAAGGGTTGTGAGGGCAAAATCTTAGATGTTACAGGAGGAAATGGAATCCTAAAGCCCTTTAAGTTTTTAAAAATCCCACAAGATTACAGTATAGTATCTGTTTTATGATTGGAAATATCTGGAAATAATTCATTTGCATAATTCGTATGAAAGAAACTTGTCCACAAAATCATCATTAAATTTTACAAACCTTTCTGGGGTTATCTGGAGGCAGAGAGCACATCTTCAGGTGGTTCAGAGAGAAAAGGAAGGAGGGCACAGAGGAAATGTTCAAAGGAGGAAGCAAATGGAGCCTAAAAGTGACAAGTGAATCCAGGCGAAGGGTATACAGAGGTTCTCTGTCCTATTTCTGTAGCTGTGCGCCAAGCTTGAAACTATTTACAAATGGAAGAGAAACTGCATATAAGTATAGAAAGCAGCTTCCATGATGGCATCCAAATATCAAATTTCTTTGTTCACCATCACAACCACTTGTGAGTAAGTTTCTCTCTGTCTAGCAACAGTTGACAAAGGGACTGGGAACACACTATAGCATCTTACTACATAAGGAAGAGCCACACACACTAGTGTGCAGATATTCATAGAAACAAGTGTGTGCAAGAAGTTAACCCTGCTATTAGAATACTGCTAATTTGTTCTCAAATGCACAGGATACATACAAAACTTAATAGGTTCATTTCTTGAACATTAGGATAGAAAAAAAAGCCGAAGCACTAATTCATCTTTAACAGAAAAAGCACAAGGAAGTTAAAGTCGGCTGGGGCAGCGGCGGGGTGGGGGGTTTGAAATCCTAAGAACAATAACCTTAATGGAAGGTATATTCTTATTAGTTACATCTGATCCTTTTTCAGTCATTCAAAATGTTTGCGGAGCCAAGTGTGGTGGCTCACACCTATAACCCCAGCACTTGGGAGGCTGAGGCAGGAGGATCACTTTGAGGTCAGCCCAAGCTACACAGTAAGTTCAAGGCCAACCTGAACTACACAGTAGAGACCCTGTCTCAAAAAAACAAACAAAACAAAAACAAAAAAGAAAAGAAAAGGTTGCTGATTAGGTAACTTTGGCTAGGAAATGACTGTTACCAGAACCACAGCACACTTGGGAAAAAATAAACTATGAACTAACAATCTTCCTTCTGTCAAGGATATTAATGAGCTCAAATACAGAGTTCTCAAAGATAACCATGACTAAGGAGTGCTTCTCCTCTCCATCTCTACAAAGCTGTGCTCTCCCACCAAAATCCTGCAGTTGAGCACTTTCCCACATTCGAGGACCTAGTAAAATGGAAAACACCACTGCCGCCTTGGCAATGCTTATCTTCTGGACATGATTCCAAGGCCAAACAGCTCAGCCAGAATCACTTGAAACCTGAAGTAAAAAGGGCCCCTCCTCCTTAGACACCAAGCTCTGCTCACTCTAAAGTCACAAAACCCATGGCTCAATGTTTAACATAGTAAAAAAGCCACCCGACATGGCACACTAGATCAGGCTCTGACATCCAGAGGAATTACTTGCAAGACATATTTAAATCCTGCCAGGTGTGGTGGCGCAGGCCTGTTATCTCAGCATTTTTTTTTTTTTCCAATCTCAGCATTTGGAAGGCTGGGGCTGGAAGATTACAGTGAGTTCAGTCTGTACAACATCTCAAACAAACAAACAAACCCAGAACAAAAACAGATTCAAGTCCTATCATACTGAGAATTTAAAACTTCTCTTCTTCAAAAATTGGGGGTACACACAATTTCTCTCCAATGATACAGCTCTTAAAAAAAAAAAAATTAAATAGGTTCTAAACTCTTACCATAATTTTAAAGAGAATGCCGGGCGTGGTGGTGCACGCCTGTAATCCCAGCACTTGGGAGACTGAGGTAGGAGGAATCTGCAAGTTCGAGACCAGCCTGGGCTACAAAAGGAGCTCAAGGCCTGCCTGACCTGCATAGTGAGACCTTGTCTCAAAGACACACACACAAAATAATAATAATAATAATAAAGAGAAATTAAATCATTACTAACATACTTTCCGGAAGGTGTTCAAGACATCTTTGTGTGTACAACTATGACTTTTATGAATTTTCATTATTTTAATTGGAATGACCACCTACTAGTCTCAGAAGTCTTTCCTTAGGGCTATGGGTGTAGCTCAGTAGCAGAGCACTTGCTTAATATCCTATGGGAGGCTCTCCATTCGAGTTCAGAACCACAGAAAGTCTTTCCTTTAAAGTCAGGTGTGGTCGTGCACTCGAGGGGCAGAGGCGGGAGGATGGTAAATCTGAGCCCAGTCTAGGCAAATTAGTGACTTAGTAAGACCCTGTCTCAACCAAAACGAAACAAAACAAAAGCGCTAGAGATGTATTTTGGTGTGAAGCCCCTGGGTCCAATCCCAATACAACCGAGGCAGTCTTAGCAAAAGTGGCTCATGTAGTTAAGCCATTCTGCTTTCTGAGGTTAGGGTATAGGGTAGTTTACTGAGTAAAGCACCAAGTTTAGCAGTAATCATTTAGCAAAGATACAGAGGGCGTAAGATGTGTATAGGACTCTGAGCCCAAACCTTCTCTGCCTATAAGCGCTTACAGTCTATTTGGTAAGCTGTGACTAAGTAATATGTGTATGCACTAAAATAAATAGCATAGACACCACATTTGATAAATATTTTGACACAGAAGATTGTGACTGTTGTGGGTTAGGGTGGTCAGAAACTAGTTGTAAAGCAGAGGAAGGAGATGAGCTGGGATTGGCAGGATTCCAAAAGGTGTTGGGAAGGGTCCTGCAGGTAGCCTTCTAGTTTGTATAATACTTTCAACATCTATACTCGTTTCTTTCGAATCTTACAAGAATTCTTACAAAAAGCCCAATATACTCTAGTCTACAGACAATAAGGATGAAAAGACCTACCCAGTCGATACAGTAAAAATGAAATCTGGGTTTAAACCCAAGAATTCAGTCTTCAAATCCAGTAGTCTAGCAAAAAATAATTCAAAAAGAGCAGAAGATGTATGGGAGACCAAGGTAAGAGCCCTGAGGTTAGACTGGTCTTGGAGAGAGGGCAAGAGACTGAACTTCAACCCTACCAGTAACAGAACGGTTTCCAGCATTCAGAGAGGAAAGGAGAAAGGGACTAAAAGCCCCAGGTCTTACTTAGGGTGGAGTACTACAATACCCAACCAGATGAGCGATAATAAAGGCATGAATTAAAAGTATATGGAAGAGTTTGGCATGGTCCCGCACACCTGCGATCCCAGCGCTTGCCAGGCGGAGGCAGGAGAACTGCCAAGAGTTGGAAGCCAGCATAGGATACACAGTGAGTTCAAAATCACCGCGGACCACACAGCAAGACTTTATCTCTATTTTAAAAATAAAACAAAACAAAAAAATCACACACACACACACAACACGTGCGGGAGAAATCACAGCAGTAACAGTAACATCTGGGCTAAACTTTAAATTACCAAGAACACCACAGCACACTAACAAAACAAAACAACTACAAATATACACTCACAAGCCGGGTGTGATGGTGCACACCTGTAATCCCAGCACTGGGGAGGCTGAGGCAGGAGGCTTGCCGTGAGTTCAAGGCCAGCCTGGACTACATTGGAAGACACTGTCTCAAACTTTCAAACACACACACACACACACACACACACACACACACACACACACGCTGTCTCCCTTTTAACCGGTTTCAGGGAGGAAAAAAATCTTAACCGACGAATTTCAGTAATAACTACTGAAGCACTAAAGGTGTGACCATTTTCCGACCACTATTTAATGTCATCGAAGATTTTAAACAAGGCTCCTAAGTGACTTTGGAACTGCCAACCATATCGCAGGAACCGCCAGGTGACGAAGTCCAGGACTGCCCACACCGGGCGCGCGCCCTGCCTCCCAGCAGTCCCGCGGGCCCGAGGCCCCCATTCAGGAGCCGCCGGGAAGGCCGGCTCACGGCCATGTGCACGCCCCGGCCCGCTTTCCGCACG